ATCGGCTTCGCCCGGAACCTGTCGCCGAAATCGAATTGTTCGGCCGAACGGCCCCGCGCGCGCGCGCGCGCGCGCGGCGAAATTGGCCGTGAACACTGAGCGTAACAATTTTTCAAACGCGATTTACACGCTCGAAAATATCTGCGTCATTTCAGCGGCGCCGGTGCCGGAGAACTCGAAACAAGCGAACGAGCGCGCGCGGTTACAATCGACGAATTCATTATATTCCCCGTATATTTTCCACCGCGTCGTGCACACCATGAGAGATTTAATGACGCCCGTAATTCCGAAAAATCCGCTCGCGCGTATAAATCGCGGCACGGATGCCCGCAATTTTCGCACATCGAGTGTAAGACGGATCTACATATTGCAGCACACGCACGCACACACAAGGGACAAGCAACAACAAAGACCTATAGTCGAACTTCCGAGCGCATGCATAGTTGTTCCGGCTGCATGGGACGGAAGTTCGCGCGCGCGTGCGTCGTCAGTGAAATTGGCCGAGAACTCTCGGCAATTTGGCGCATATACGCCAGTGTGAGTAATAAACTTGCGCCTGTATCGACTTTCGCGAACATATGTATCGCGTATCGCGCAAACGTCGCGGAATGCAACGTCGACATCGAAACGCGCCGGCCGACGATCGTGCGAAACAAGGCCGAAAAATCGCATGACGCATCGATGCGCGCGACAGCGATACTTTCCGCGCTTCCGGTCGCGTTAGCAGACGCCGATAATGAATGAAGTCACACGGGACGTGTAGCACTGACGCGGGCCCAATTAGCCGGTTCGTTTTGTTTCGGGAACGAGAGAGAGATGCCGCGAACGACGCGGCTGGCCGGGTGCAAATTGCGTCGTGCGAAAGTAAGTCTGCGCGTTAGAGGCCGCAATTAGAGGAATCCGCCGCGATAATTCGTCGATATACATTCGTCGCTTCCGTGCTGATGTCGTTCACCGTAGACGACGCTCGACCGGTGAAGTAAAAGTAATTAAACTCGTAAAGAAGGAGTGTCGGGAGAATCGTGTACGAAGCAAAACGTGCTTCTCGCGTTATTCGTCGTTCGCGGGCGACGAATAACGTGTTGAAATGATGAAGCGAGGAGGAAAAATTCCGAATCTCCTCCGAGCGAAACGCGATCATCTCCCTCATCGTCCCGTCGAGTTCAACCTGACTCTTTCCTACTCTTTCACACTTGGAGGTAGAACGCGGGCGGAAGAACAAACCTCGAGTATTCTTTGCACGGGATGAAACGCTCGTCGGAGTTATCGAGCCGAATTTTTATGTTTATCTGGAAAACTGGAACTTGAACTGCCGACACGTCCGGTGTTGAACTTCTCACGGTCGATTCGATTTATAGCCGGTCCGAGCCCGAGTTATAGGTGTTACGCGCGGCCGTAGTTAGACCGTACGGGTGCGACAAGGACAACCGAGCGAGATGGAGGGAGGGAGGGAGGGAGAGAAAGAGAGAGAGATAGATAGAGAGAGAGAAAGAGGGAGAGGGAGAGAAAGAGCGAGGGAGGAGAAATTGGTCAGTCCCAGCGGCTCGGCGCTAATAACCGAGGAACACGAAGACGAGTTATGACAGCCGGTGTCGCAGCCCCTTTGGTGGGCCGCAATTGCGTGGGCGACATGTGCCATTGTCCAAACGGTACAACGCTGCACCTTCTATTAGCGCCGGCCGTACCATCCGGTGGCATTCCTCTCTTCGGCCAAGGTGACGACCGTCAGGTATACACGTTAGGCGTCGCCGTCGCCGTCTATGCACACTGCCCCAAATATCCCCCGACCTTGGAAATAGTTCTAACTGCGAAATCACTTCATCCTGTGAGCAATGCGCCGACGGAACGCGGAATCCGCTCGGCAGGTCACTCCCGCGGTTGCGCCGCATTGTGAAATTTCGTCGCGTCCGCGTCGGTGTCCCGAGGTATCTCGGTACGTGACTGTAAAAAGGGTATTTGCGCGACAGGATCCTGCGGACTCCTCCGCCAGTGGTCGTTGTATAGTATCGCGGAAGATTAAAAGACGGGCAGGGGGAGACGGTTAAGAATTCATCAGCGGAAGAGATGGTGGTTCTCTTTTCCCTTCTCTTCGCTTTTTATTTTTATCCGCAGTCGTTACATATCTGCTCGATCGCACGCTGCCGGCGATTAAATCTGCGAACTGACTCGGGGAATCGCAGTCTTCATCGCTTGAACCGCCGGTCATGAAGTAAGAATCTCTAACCCACCGCTATCTGAGTGAGGGTAGTTTGACGCGAGGCAGTAAAACGTGACTTCACTCCGGGAATAATATCGGCTATAAAGTCGGGGATAGTAAGGTAACCAATGTCTGTTCGAAAAGTCAATTCTCCCGCAGGCCGCGCCGCAGCCTGCGGACGGAAAATACGGCGCGGTACTTGCGCGATCTCGTAAACCGTTACATTGTTCTTTCGCGACGCCCGGCCATACCGGCAAGGTGTGTCCGTCGACTTTGCGGCGTGCAATTAACCCAATCGTGCGAGATGACGTTGAGATCCCGCGAAGGAAATGAGGAACGACGACGAGGGGCGTCGCATGTGCAGCGCGGATCGAGAGGTGCAAAGAAAGATGACGCGCGAAGAAGAAGGATCGATTCAAACGTAACAATGATGCGGCGAAATGCACTCGACTTTCCAGAACCGGCGATTCTCTTTCCTTCGACAGCAAGAAAATCGAATTACAAAGATCAGAAATTGTTCGCTTCGCCGGCCGAAACGTAATTATTCGTCGAAGGAGGCGGAATTTCTGCTTCTGGCGAAGCAGATCCCGTTTCTCCCAAGCAAAACGTCCTCCATTTTGTTCCATTTTAACGTTAATTCCACCGATCTTCCCTTCCGTGGCAGAAACAATGACGCGCGACGGACACCACTAGCCCGACAATCGCACGAATTCTTCGAAAGAGGCGTGATCGTCTAATACACCTGATCTTCCACCTTGGTAGAGTAACAACACCTGATTGATGCGACGGCATATTGATGGCCGACGGTGATCGTGAAAATGAAAAGCGGCGTAGCGAGCTTACGGTATCGCGCGTTACCGCCGTGCCATTCGCCGGTAATCGTGGATTACCGCGCGATATTATTGCATTACTTATCCGTTTAATGCAAAAATCACTTCCCCCTGCCTTCCCGCCCGCTCCTATCGGGATGGAGACTGCGCCCATTTATTAAAGCATTATATGATATAATACAAAGGCCATTCGTTCTCCATTAGCTAATTGATTATTATAATAACTTCGTTATACATGCGCGCGCGCGCGCGCGCGCGCGCACGCGAGATAATTCGATCCGTATACAATGCCTTTTAAGAGACAGAGTCCAACGTTTTAAGCACCCCCTCCTCCCTCGTCCAATCTCCCTTTATTCCGCCTTGCCGCAGCAACCCCTTGCTACTGCGAGCGCTCCGTTTCATTAATAAAGCCCGGTCGATTCGTTTCGTCGGGCGCATCATTCATTCCGCGTAGACCCGACGCAATCACCGAGTGGAAGTACTTCTATCTAATACGCACCTGCTCTCTACGTCGGCGGGAACGGTCGTTTTACCGGCGGAACGGTCGTAATTCCCGTCGGAGTTAGTATTACACGGACGTGCCTCGAATGAGGTAAAATCTTCGCGTATTGACGCACGATAAATAACCGCGTCCTGTGCGCGCGCGCGCGCGCGCGCTATTATTCCGTGATCGTAATACATTTCTCGTGCGCGTGCGCGTATTATATATATCGTAATACAATTTGCATTAAATCGCGATCATTCTCTACGTGGGAATTAAGCGCTACGCAGCAGCATCAAACACAATCGCAGCTAATTTGCCATTTCATCGCTTCGTACCGTTCATGATCGTCGTTGTGTTGCATGTACACTTACATCGAATTATTGAAATATTTGCCGATTGTCGACAGGACGCGCGACGGACGCACGTGCCGACTCCTCCCTCTCTCTCTCTCTCTCTCTCTCTCTCTCTCTCTCTCTCTCTCTTTCCTTCTTTTGACTTTGTTATGTAAGGTTTGTACAAAATTGCGAAGGATGAAAAACGAAAAAAAGAAACGTTTATTAGAGCTTTCCAGTCGACTCAATCACTCGCACACGCATTGTTACTGCTATTGTCTCTCCTTTTCGCCACCTCCGTAGCAAAAGAAGCCGCTCCGGCTTCACCCCGTTGCTGGCCGCTTTATCGCTTATGAGACATTTTAAAAGAAATAGCGATGCTCAGAACTTAATTCTCTACAGTTTCACCCTTTTTCTCTCGACCCGTCCCGAGGTGACGCAGCGCAGGACATGCGCGACTGAGACATTAAGGACGCTGAACTGGAGTCGATGGAGGCATAGAATTCGTGTCACGTGCACCGGAGGGGCTTGAGAGAGGCAGAGAGCGCGAGAGAGAGAGAGAGAGAGAGAGAGAGAGAGGAAAGGCGAGTGTGGGCTTAGAAATATTTAATTTCCCGTCTCTCGGATCATGTAGTGCTACTCTCTGTCTTCGCTTCAGCCAGGTCACGTGGCAGCCTCCAAACGTGATATAATTATCAGTCCATCTTCGGAGGGTCTGTTGCCTCCGTCTAAGCACCGCTCGTAGCGTCGGCAGCTAAATTGAATCAATCAGGCTTGTATCTGAGCACGTATGTTGCTAATCGAATCGATTCACGTTTCGCCTACGCGGAATTTCAACTATCCGCCAAAGGATTCGCAATTCGTCCGTGCGTACACACGTAGATACGCGCCCAGCCGTGGACACGTGTGCTCCGCTATATCGATTGCCGCGCAAAAATAGCGCTGCCTCGTCGCGCCGCGCCGCGCCGCGCCGCGCCGGGACGAGATGGGGCCGGATTGCGCGCGCGCGCGCGCGCCGACGATAATCTATACGCGCGCAACAATTGACCCCGACGAGCGATAATCGGCGTCATTAATGTGTTAATTATATGCGACAATTCGCGCAATTTTGCCCCGACCGCTGACCGACGTGTCCGTGTTTTTCTCCCGTGTTGCAGGTGATGAGAGCGACACATTGCGGGGGTTAAAGTGGCAGCCGAGAAGGGCGAGGAAGTGGCGAGGCTCGTGGAAATCGGCATCGGGGGCGTACGATCCGGGCAGCGGTAGTGGTGGCGGAGCGGCAGGGGTGAGTGTAAACTCGTTTACGTTACTCGATGAAGATTCTCGTCTCGCGGAAGACTCCCGTCGAGCATTAATCGGCGTGCAATTTCGTCGTGTTCACGCGAGTCAGCCAGAGTCACTCGCGATCTGCTCTCGTCAAGTGCGCCGTCGACTGTCAACAGCCGACTCGCCAATGACTGCAGACGAGGGACGCGCTAATTGTCCTTAAAGAGAACGCGCCTTACCCTCGCGCGCCTCGAGCGCAAAAATCGCGCGGCCATTCCCTCCGGTAGCGTCACTTCGCGCATAGGTGCACCTATACTTTATACGGCTATACCTCCTATTCGCCGCCTCGGTACTCCTGCTTATATGCGACATATTGAACGACGTGTCATTCATCGGTCGTAGCTCACCTCCTACCGAGACGACGCGACGGAGAAGGCTTGCCGGTTGCCGGTGATTGTTGCGGCCGCGCGCGCGCGCGCGCGCGCGTGTGTGTTTTAGTTGTAACGGGCGTCGACCGCTTCTGCCCGCAGGTACTATGGGAGCGGGGGTATGGGGGGCGGAGGAGGGCTACAAGCCACGGACCTCCGGCGAAGGCTCGAGTTCCAGTGTACCGGAGGAACTTGTTCGCAGGGTCTTCGGTCCCTAAGGCACGACAGCTACCATGCCACGGAGGAGAACGCCGCGTGCGACGACCACGAGGACAGGTAAGCCGGACGAGCGTACGTTGGATCTCTCTCGGATACGCGAGCCATTTGTTTCGCGATCGTGCCAGTTTCGTCGTTTCGTCGTTTTACGTTCACGTCATGAAATATGTGTATGCGTGCGCAAGATACGTAGGGAGAGGAAGGATAATCGTCAAGAGCCCGCGAAAGCTCGTCGGATTTTCGACCGCGCTTGTTTTATTAACGCGCCGACTGCCGACGGTGGTCACGTCGAGTGCACGACCGTCGACGCTGTAGCATCGCCGTGTCTCAATAATTTATGGATAAAACGCGACTAACCGCGGTACAACGGATTGAACGTACAGCCGGTAGAGAGCCAATGGAACGTGCCGGTGCACGTGCGTCCCGCGGATTGCATTTATCTTCGTCGTATCTTTGGTGATTGAAAGTTGAATTGGGACTGCTCAGCGGCGAAGCTCAACAGGCAGCGTGGCGCGGTCAACGTATCGACAGTAACGAAACAGCGTTCGGCCAAAGTATCTGTCATTGTTACCCCCGGCGCGCTTTCCTCCGGCTCTCAAGCAATTGTCCGATATTTCGCGTTTATGAAATCGCTCATCTTCCGAGCGAAATTATCGGGGCGGCTCTCAGCAAGCTCTCGCGAGCCGTTATAGCCGACAGACTCTCATCGGCGGGTCTCGGTGCGTGTTAAAACATCGCGTGTTAATTTCGCGAGTTAGAGGGAGGGAGGGAGGGGCAACAAAGGAGAGAGTCCTGGAAGTGGAAGTCTCTGGAAAATATCGTTTGCGGGAACGAATTGAAGTTGTAATCTCGTGTCGAATCGTAATCGAAAAGATATTTTCCCAAGAGGAAGTTCTCGAGTTGCTAATCTCCATAAGATGACACGAGCGTCGCGGTAAAGTCGCATACAGTAAAGGAAGCACTTCTCCACAGGGGGACTGACCACGAAGCGATTCTCGCTTCCGGTCAGCCCACCTGCACAGGCTGCCGGCCGTACAGGCGCCAGGAGAGCGAAGCGGTTGAGAAAAAGGACAGTCTGAAGGGACGCATGTCCGAGTCGGATGGGATCGGTGCGGTGTACCGGAAGCTGCGGCTTTGTCTGGGCCTTTTCGAGCACGCGGGTAAAAATGACGACGCGGAGGCGGAGGACGACGACGACGACGACGACGACGACGACGACGAAGGGAAGAGGCATCGGTTACGGTGGTGTCGCAGGGACTTCCGACGAATCGTGGAAGTGGCGACAAGAGCTCTACTCCTTGGCATCGCGCTCCTCGTCACGCCAGGTACGTGTCTGAACGGTCGTGCGAATGCGCGCTCATTTTCGAAGATGCATCTACGACTACGACTTCTTCTCGAGACATCTTCGACGTGAGAAATTTAGCCCGGCAGCGACGCTCCGTAGACAGCCTGACGCTGTCACGTGGGCATTTTGTATCCCGACTCGATTACTCGGTCGCGCGGACAACGCTGTGCCTTGTTGCTATCATCGTATTACGTCGCGGTGATTGTGATAACTCGCGAGACACTGTCGAATCTAGAGATCTCCTGATTTGTCCGCCGGGCTCTGCCGTGCGTCGGCCCGCAATTAGCGGGGACCGCAAATTAGAGTTCGCTAGTTGGCGGGACGTCCGGACGGTCGCCAGTTGTCGCGGTGCCGTATCTCACGAAACGGCTCGTTGCTTCTCAAATCCGACAGTCCGTAGGCGGACTGCCAGGGATAGAGAGAGAGAGAGAGAGAGAGAGAGAGAGAGCTTGCGGCATGTAATGGCACGCCGACGTCGAGATCGACAAATGAAGCGAAATAAGCCGAACGCGATCGGCAGATAACGGCATCGGGCGAGAACGCTGAATGCCTGATCCCCCGCGAGTCCGGGGGAAATTGAAGAGAATAACACGCGATAATCTGTTCGTCGCAAGCGTCGCTTTGCTCGGCGGGCCGTGTATATCCCGATACGGTGCGATCGCGAGAGTCGCCGAGAGAGCGCCAGCAGCCGCGTTGTAGAAGGAAAACTTCGAACGGCTCGTGTGTGTCGCGACGCGCGACCCTATAAATCGCTATAAACGCTATAAAACGCGTGTACCGTAAATCAGAGTCTCGGAATGCGAGGCCTGTAAAAGCGCTCCGTCGGCTGTCGGTGCGTGAAATTTACGCATTACACGGCAACTCGTTCAGAGCCTTTTCAGAGATCCAAATCAGGCGGTTGCGATCTTTCGAGCATTCTCCGTGCAAGTCGATAATGACGAATCTCGTGATGAACTTTTGTCCTAAAAGCGCACCTCTTTCTCGCGCGAAGTGCGTCTCGCGTTATTAATCACCGCCGCCGGCGAATACGTAATTACCGCGGAGGTTGAATTCGATGACAATTTTTATCGGCGACAGGCACATCTGGCCGGATTGTGTGCCTCATTCATAGCGGCGAATGTTCCCTCGCTCTTTCTCTCTTGGTATCGCGCGGCCTCCAATCCGGGCGGGTTTCAATTTGAAAGAATTTCTCTCCGGTGCCGAAGCGTGAATGGTCGCAGCCGCCACCGTGAAAAGAGGCTGAGCCTTTTATCAGTGCCCTGAATTCGTTTTGATACGCGGCAGCCCTGCTGTTTGACAATTCGAAAAATGGCCCTTCGGAAGATGCTCTCCCTGTCAAATGTGGGACATTGTTCATTTTCGGCGCGGCAGCGCGCGCACGCGATACCGGCCCGCCCGTTATTAATGTTACGCGTGCGTAACGATTATATATTTACACGTTATTACATTTTTTTTCCCCGCAATGCGCGACAATGCGCGACAATGCTTGAAAAACACGACGCGTCTGCGCGATTCTCGTGATTTATACTAATTACGATTTGCATCCGTTGTGGATGGCTCGAGCGGGAAATTAGAACATTTCATATTAAATCGCGAAAGTGTCGCGCGTAATTGCGACGAAACAAGCGCCGTTTGGCAGTTCAGCCGTGTGAGAGAGAGCCGCAGGGAGAGAGCACTCTCGTAATCGTATCACATTTTGTTTTTACAATTGTCTCGACTCGAAGAGGGGGGCACTCTCGAGCGCGAGGACCCTTAATCACAACGCCGTCACAATGAGATTACCGACGGGGAGTAAAGGAGAAGCTAAAAAATGCGCCCGCGCCATGCCTGTTTTCCGGGTTTCTTTTTACGTTTTCGTTTCTTCCTCCTCCTTTTTCCGTAAGCGCACGTACGTTACACGGGGATCCTCTTATGAGGCTCGTTATTCTCATCAGCACGAACAATTTCATTAAAACTCCGGCTTCTCTCGCAAAGTCTCATTCAAAATATATGCTTAACTGCGTTAACGACGCGCACGCGACGATAATAATACAAAAACTCGCAATTTAAGCACGCGCGTATTGTCTTGCCATCCCCGCTGGCAGAGAAAAATGTGTAATTTATCACAGCAATTTCACTGATTGCTTGCCCGCGACACAATTCTCCTTTCATTTGCGCGATACGCCGAGTACTTATTATCGAATAATGTCGCGATCGCGCTTGTTTCGGCCGAAGTGTTGCGCGCGCGCGCGCGCGCGTGTACGTGTGCGACGGGAGGTGACAAAAGATACGCTGGATACGTCAGGTGCGTGCCGAAACGTTGAACGCTTGTGCAAACGTTTGTAGCAAATATAAAATAAATATTGAGACGGCGGCGGTGGTCGCGAGACTTGGCGCCGTTTTCCATCGAACAATCGTAACGATCGAAAATGCTGAATGCTTCCAATTAATAAAACCGCCGTTATTCCACGCTGAGTTTTATCAATTCGTCTAGTTACGACATGAATTTTGCGATACACACGTATCCCGTGTATACGGCATTTATATGCATACACGGTTAATATCGTTGCGGTGCACGATATTACGGTGAATCATTAAAAACAGCCGCAACTCGCAAATAGAGCGCACGTTTTTCGTGCAAATTCTTTTAATTAAATCGCCTTGCCTCCCCACCTTCGCTCACGCGCACTTTTTTGCGTCAGCCCGCTGCTGTTCGAGGAACTTTGGTTCGGCTTGGAAGTATCGTGCCTGCGTGAAATTTCGCTCCGAGACAGAGAGAGAGAGAGAGAGAGAGAATACCTGCCCGCCACGAGCGTCGTCATCGCGAGACGCGCGATTCTGGTAACGGAACCGAGACGGAAAAACGCGCGTTCTCGGGATGAGTCCCTCGCGCAGGCGGCTGTTGTCTTTTTAAGGGCTCAGCCGATCGCGATCGCAAATGCCTCCTCAAGAGGCAACAGCGTGTTAGCGCGGCGGGGACGCGCGCCTCCATAAATTCCGCGTACTTCGCGGCTGCCTGTGCGTGCACGCGCGCGTGTGTGAGCGTGCGAAAGTGTGTACAAGCGCGATTATGGTTTCTTCCTCATAGCGGCCATCAAAGCGTCGCAGATGGCAGGCGATGAAACGAGTTGCAAATGACGCGCGGTGCCGACCTGGAGGGTACGTTGCCCTTGATAAAGTCCGTTGCACACGGCAGAATCGCGAACCGGTCGATCGATAGGGGTTCCCGAGATGACACCTCGACTATGAAGATACGCGATGCGCGCTGGTCGATTTGACGGCGCGTTATTGTCGAGGTGAGGCGAGACGAGCGCGATACGATATATGGCGCGACTCGAGGAGCCATCGAGATCGTCGTCGTTGTCGCGACGCGGACATTTTTACGCCGACTACACGCGCGACGTTGCTCCAGCTTGCAGCACGTTGGAGAACGCGTCGTCTCGCGCCGGTGCGCTTGCGGTCTCTCGTCGCGATTAATCCTTTAACGCGCGCGTACGCCGCTACAGCCTCTAAATCAGCGAGTTTTACGGCGCGAACATTAAGACGCCGAGAGAAATGCGATCTTTTTTCCTCTCTCTCTCTCTCTCTCTCTCTCTCTCTCTTTACAACCCGCTGTTTGTGTGCCCCGACGAACGCGATTTTCGCGGGAGAACGCGCGTGTGTGGGTTGTAACCGCGTGCGATGAGCGGCGGTACGTTTTCGCGCGGATTCTCAATGTTTCACGTCGTGCGCAGGCTGCACTCCCCCCCCCCTCTTTCTCTCTCTCTCTCTCTCTCCCACGGTTTCATTTATCCGAAATAATTCAAAGGTATCTTTGAATCCTGAGCTCATTAGGGTAATAGTATACTCGTTAAGTCGGCTTAATTGCTTTTACCTTCCGTTTCATCCGATTGGGCCAGATTCTCGTGAGCGCAGCCCGCCTCAGACACACGCGCCGGCTATTTAGTTTACACGAAATATGGCGTACAAGCTGATGGAACGGCTCGCTAATTTCACGCTCCAACGCTGCCTGAAAATTCGCTGGTAAAGATGAGAAGCTACTTCGTGAACTTGCTTTAACGCTCTCACGCGCTTCCAGGCCGAACGGCCGGTCTCTCTCTCTCTCTCTCTCTCTCTCTCTCTCTCTCTCTCTCTCTCCCTCTCTCTCTCTCTCTCTCTGCGAGAGACCAGTGACAATGAGATGTGCGCCAAAATGTAGTCAACTGCCGCACGATGAGCCCGTGTTGAACTTTTGCTTTCTGAATGAGTGATTAAATCGCTGGGAAAGTCGAATCGGAAGAGCTTGGAGTCGAATCGTGGCTTGGAAAAATACATCAAGTATTTTAGCTTCGTGGCCACAGAGCAAACATCTTCCTCGAATAAACTTTTATTCCGAGAAGTCTCTCTAAGAAGCTACCCTGGCTTTAATATCTAAATGGCTCGGCAGATTTTAATTTTTCACGAGAGGAAGATAAGTTTCCATGGATACTTTTGATGAAAACAACAGGTCAGTATTCTCCGAGTTGAATTCTAGCAAAGTGCAACTTATCAAAAATTCGAAAATAAGTTTTGAAATTGAGAATTTCCCAGACACGGCAACTCTACCGATTTTTATCGGATTTGACGGAAGTTTTATCGGAAAATGACTGGAAAATTCTTACTTTAGCCCTGCAACTTCTAAAAATGTGTTCTAAAAATGTGTGCGATCAAACTGAAATGGCTTGTCTTTTTTTAATCTCTCTTGTACGTGTATGTTTGATTTCGACAGATTATCTATTTCGGACAGCGCGCAAAAATTCGAAGCAAAAACGCTTCATTTTCGGTATTCATCGCGCGGCGAGATATTTCGTTCTCGCGTCAAGCAGAAACAAACGAGCTGTTTTTTGGGTCTCGCGCGGACCGCGCGCGTATTCTTTGTGGCCGCATTCAAATGAATTGTTCAATCTGTTTATCTCGCCGGAAAAACAGCCGCGAAGTGAAGGGCGGATTGCCAAAACGACGTGGAAGTGATTCTGTCTAAAC